GCCTACACATCTAAGGCAGACAGTGGTAAGTGCTACCTAAGATGTGGGAACATGGAGTAGGGTTGAGCAATTTCAGTTGTGGAGATCAGTGGAGGCTAAATGGAAAATATGTCATTTGTGTTTGGTCTTGAAGGATGCAGGAGGTGTCACTGGGAAGAGGGATAAGGAAGGACAATGCAAGTTGACAGGTCATACTGAGCACAACAGTTAGGATGGATTATCAAATAAAGTCAGCTTTATTTGTGATGTTTGTCTCTAAACAAATGATTCTGGAGAGAGCAGGAGTAAAGGAAATCTACTTGGATGTATAATGATCAGGAAAAGTGGGTTGTAAAGAGGTGGATTTAAACCACATATTTTCCTTCTCTGTTAAAAGATGGCTGGCTCTGAGTGGATAATTACTCTGTGACTAGTTGTGGAATTGGGAGCTGCGTGAAACCTCGATGGTAAGGAGAACGAGGGCTGCCTGGATGATTTGCTTGGTTTCATCTCCAAATTATTTGGAGAGAAGAAGAAGTTAAAAGATGATGGAAGTTAGATGACTGTAAAGAATTAAAATTAAAACAAAACTAAATTTTAAGAATCAAGCCTGAATCTGTTGATGTATTTAAAGTTACAGTTGTCAGTGTTTCTCCTCTGGACTGAAAGTGTTAGAGGATAATATTTTGATTGGATAAACAAGTTAAAGACATTCGAACACTAGTGTAAGTGCTTGGAGCTGATGGAGCAAGACCTGCGTTACATGAATTTTTTGTCTGGTCAAGTTATAGGAGACCGGAGGTGTGTGTTTTTAATAAATGACATCATTTTACACATAATGCTTTAAAACTTGTCTTTCCTAGTTTAAAAAAAAAAAGAATCTTGGAGAAAAGTCTCTATTAGTATAGATGGATTTAACTCATTTTTCAACTGCTGTATATATTCCATACTATGGATATGTTACAGTTTACGTAGCCAACTCCCCACTGATGAGTATTTACGTTGTTTCTAATAGTTTACTTATAAACAATGCCACAATCAGCTTCTTCCCAGCTTTGTATGGGCCTTCTTCATGCTAGTCTTTTCTTATTCCTTATGACTGGATAATCTTAAAATGCTGGAGGACCACGGACTATAATGGCAATGACCAACAATATCCCTCAAGATTGCCCAAGCCATTTCCTTTGGTCAATTCTAAAGGTTAATTAATAATCACTGTGATTTAGCCATATATGCCTAATTGAAGCTGCTTAGACCCTGTCCTTACTTTTAGAATGAGTTTCTTTATTCTTCTGCTTGCCTATCTTCAGAACAACCTTTGTCCCAGTCGTGCAGCAGAAGCGGGACAGAGTGAGAACGTTCTTTAATAGACAAAGTCCATGACTCTCGGTCCTGTTATCCATCAGTTTTGTCCAGTGTATGATGGGGAACAACTTCATTTGGGATGATGAAATGAGAAATCTTCTCTTTAAATTGATTGTTAAAACTGGTCCTTTGTGATCTCTTAATCTGGGAAAATCCCTGAAGAGTAATAAGACGTAGTTAAGATTCATTCACAGCTGAACGATTCACCCATAGAAATTTCTTAACAGCCCAGGAAGGAGTCGTAACTGCAATAAAGATTTTGTTGATAGGATTATTTCTGTGGCAAGGTAATACTGCCCCGATACAAGAAAACAAAAAGTCTTTATCTTTTCTTAAGACTTTAACAAAACAGTGGGCACAGAATGCACAGGGGTTGAATGCTGTTGGAATCAGAAGAATGCAAAAATCCAAATGAGGGTACAACATTTCACTGTTTTGATAATGTTGAACTGGCAAATTGAACCCTTATATCGTGGAGTCAGCTGCCCCCGATAACAAGGATGCTTTGTTTTAGAACACAGGACAAGAACTGAAGGTTTCTTGAACATATCACCAACGATTCTACACAATGACTCCTTGGTATAATTTTTACATTCTTGAAAAGCATGCTATTTTGTTTAAATCTCACAATAATACTGACCAAGGCAGGGTAAGTCATATTGTAGAGGAGAAGGGCTAGGTGACTTGTCATGGCTGAAACACAATCCAAATCTGCCTTCACATCCATCTACTCCTCTTTGCATTATGCTGCCTTCTGAAACAAGTTATATGTTGAAACAGATACATATTCACAATGAACAGAAGGGAGCCTCTGGAATTTTGATGTGTGCTGTGGCATTGCATACTACTTATCTTCTGCTATTTGACTATCTGTAGGGCTGTAACTTACTCAGAACTCACATACAAGCATCCAGATACTGTAAGTCAATCATTGTGCTCGATCTTTGCCGCTTCTTGTTCTGTGAGATGAAGAAGGCTTCAGATACATTTTGCTCAGCAAGGCTCAGAAACACTTGTATTTGCTACTTTGTGTTAAAAAAGACTGTTTTGTGTGTCTGTTCCCTATTAGAGTTGAGTTCCTTGCCTGCTCTGTTTTCAGACATGAAGCCTTATTTTGATGTGTTTTTCTGTTTCCCAAATGTGTTTGATCATCAGAATCACCTAGAGAGCTGTGATTTCTGTGTTCAGGCAAGTTTAGGAAGTAGTCTTAGCCTGATCCATTAGCCTAGCTCTTGGAGTTTAATTGTTGAGTCCTGTCAAGAACCAAGACCCATAGTGTGTTCCTGTAAGCACTTGGCATCCCGCATTGCTCTTGGCAGGAAATGAACTAAAACAGCAAAGAAGTTAGGAGACACGCATTCACTTCCTAAGGATCCTTTCCAAAGATCAGAAAAGGCTCAGTAAGTGTTGAAAATTATAATAATATTGATTCACTATTTCAACAATGATTTGAGTGCATACTATGTGCCAGGCATTTGTGCTAGGTGCTGGGGATACACAGCTGTGAACGAGGCAACTCACATTTATGGAAGTGCTTGTCATGGGATGGATATCAAGCTAACTGCTTCACATACCTTTTCTCGTTTAAACTTCACAACTGTTCTGTGAGGTAGGTATTATCAACTTCATTTTAAAATTGAGAAACTGTTATTTCAAAAGTTTGACTGACTTGGCCAAGGTCAACTGACTTGGCCAAGATCACTGATCTGGTAACAGGGAGATTCAGAATTCACACCCAAGCTGTCAGATTCCTCAGCTTATGCTTCTTATCCCATTGATCTTCTGCTTTGCCATGGTATATATGTCTCCTCATTCTGTCCTTTCTACTTTAAATAGAGTTCGCAACCCTGCCTACATGTTAGAATGGCTTGGAGAGTTTAAAAAAAGTATCTTTGCCTGGGCTTCACTCCAAACAGATTAAATAAGAATATTTGATGGTGCCCAGGTATCAGCATTTTAAAAAAGCTATCTGGGTGAGACCAATGTGCAGTGATTGTTGAGAACCACTCAGCATCATTAATTGCCATCAAAGAGAGACTGTTGCTGTGAGCCTAATAGTTTCCAGCATTCTTCCTGGATCATTTGGCTGATCAAACATTTAAAGGTTCTAAATTATTTTTCTTCCCTTTCAAATAAACTGAAAGTAGTCAAAATATAACAAATACTTTAATGCAAATGTTTCCCCAAAGAGGGACATGAAAATAGATCCACCTAAGGAGAAATACAGAAACTTGGAGATCTCTTTGCAGGAGAAGTATAGTCTAGAGTGAATGATGAGAAATAACCTGAGGTCTAGAACACCCATGAAGTTCTGGATCTCTTTTCTGGTGAGACTCAGAGAACCTGAAGATACATTCTTTAATCTGATGGGGGAAGAAAATCTTGGGACAAATGGTGGTTGAAGAAAGTTTCCTTCATCCTTGGTGAGCACATGCCACAAATCAACTTATTTTTTTTGTGTGGTCCAAATGAAAGTAAAATAAAAGTTAAATAGTTCCCATCATGTGTTAATATAAGTATAGACTAAGGTTTATTTTGAATGCTCTAAGAAAAAATACCCTAAGAAATAGAAGAATATATATCTAAGTTTCTTCAAGTTGTTTGAAAACCTTTAACTGCTCAAGCAATGCATGTTGTATATACATATATAAACTTTTAAGTTAAGAATTCTGTGTTTCAGGCTTTCAACACTTGGGTTAAACATCTATGATGTGGTCGTAATATCTTGCCTTTGTAAAGATGGCCATCTATTACTTACTGACTCTCCACTAATTCAATCTGGTTTTGCTTTGTCTTCAACCAGTGAGTTGTGACTGTCCTGTAAGAGAAGTTCTTCTCAAAGCATCTGTATCAAATATTGAGTAAATGGTTAGTTAAAGTAATCACAAAGTTGTGGTCCATAAAATCCCTAAAAAGAGAAAGACAGGGAAAGTAAATTTGGGGTCACTGTATTTCAACCAATTGGAGGCACTTCTATGAGAAGAAAACATCAAGGCTACCAGGGGAGGGAAGACTTCTTAAACCAATGAGTCTTTAGACAGAGAAAGGGCAATGACTGCCATTCTATTATGAGTAACTTAAGGTGACTCTGTGTTTTAAAACTCAGCCCTCAATGCTGATCATAGGCTAGTTGGATCATAAAGTTCCATTGGGGTTGAGTCATTTTATGACTATTACTAGAACAAGTCATTACCAAAAAAAAGGAAACAGAAAAAAAAAAGAAAAACATGAAAAATGGCCTCCTTTTTTACATTTCCACATAGGTGATCTCCATACCAGGAGATGAACTTGAACTTGGTTGGGCGGGAGACGGACCTGGTTGGGCGGGAGACTGGAGCCCCTCAGAGAATTTGGGATTCTTCCATTTTTACTGGGAGGGTTGGCAGGTATAACATGTGTTGTTATGTGAAGTCCATGAGAGCCTCCAGGGTTCTAACTCCCTGCCTCTCCGTGTGGTGGGGAGTCGGTCGCTCACTCTGAAGCACTCGACTGATTTCTGTCTGTGGCTTACCCATGAACAGTGGCTTGGAAGTGTCAAAGCATGAGAAGCATGCAGTCGAACAGCATGTGCTGCCATCATCTTCTACATGGTTCTGCATGGGAAAGCTCTTGGGCTGTCTGCCTCTGAGCTCAGGTGTTTGCTTCTTTTCCTACAGAACTCCCTGAAGGCTTCAAATCGGAAGAAGAAGAGAACAAGCTTTAAAAGAAAAGCCAGTAAAAGAGGAACTGAAGTAAGTGTTTCAGCATTATGTTCCAATGAAATATGTCCTCCTTTCCATAGCTGTCTCTGTCAGACAGGATGTGGCCCAAGCTTATTTTTCTTACGTATCTCCTACCACTCTTTCCTCCTTCACTACACTCTAACCACACTGGAATTCTTTCTATTCCTACAAAAAAGAAAAAAAAATAACATAACCTCCTACTGCTTCAGAGTCAGAGCATTTGCACTTGCCTGGAAAATTATCCCAAAGATGATGATGATGAAGATGAAGATAAGAGCTAACAGTTCTAGAATACTTAATGTATACAGAGTAAAATCCAAAGCATGCCTTAATTCCCAGGGTCAAATTATAGTTTGAGATACTTTCTTCCCAGATTTATATGGAATGTCCTATTAAGAATAAGCTCCATGAAATAAGACATAGGGTTTTTTTGGGGGAGGTGGTAGTGGTGGTGGTGGTGGTGGTGGTTTCCCACTTCCTTTGCTTTGGGGCTGCCCTTCAAGCCATGGGTGTATGTCTCAATAGTGCTGCTTTCTTCTTTCAGCAGGAAAACAAAGGTCGTCCTTTTGTAATAAAACCTATCTCTTCTCCTCTCATGAAACCCTTGCTTGTGTTTGTGAACCCCAAGAGTGGAGGCAACCAGGTGAGTCATTTTTTGTGAGTTTAACTTAGAAGTTTCAGTGCTTTTTTGAAAACACAATTCCCAGCACCAATTAAAATAGCGCCACTAAGGCCTCAAGCATTGGAAGACAAACTGGTTTCTCAGGGGCAAGGTTATCATTGCTCCAGCAGGGGATAGCCTTACATATTACAGGGTAAGCAAAACCTAGAGTTTCTATGATTCATTCCTTTGCTTGCAGATAAGATTATACCAGGAGTACTCCAAAAACTTAACTGCTGGCATTCTCCTTACAGATTTTCAAGAAAGGTCATTCTAGAATCTCTTAGTTAATGTTTCAGGGTTTCTCAACTCTCATGGTTAGGAAGTTCTTCATGAACTTATCTTTATTTCTTCCTATTGTTAAAATTAGGCCAGATTACTTTTGTCCCTATCCTCAGAGAAAAGAGAGAACAATGACTCATCATAGCGATAATCATTCACAACAAACACCATTAACAACCAGCACCACCAATGCTATCAAAAATGTCACCTTCTCCAGGTTCCATCTAGTTCTTGCCCAAATCCTATAATGCAGTATCAACCCCATTTGAGGATAAAGAAATAGCTTTCGAAACGTTGTTTAATGGGGCAGGCCTGGTGGTGTAGTGGTTAAGTACTCTCAATCCACTTCAGCAGCCCAGGGTTTGCCAGTTCAGATCCTGGGCATGGACCTACACACTGCTCATCAAGCCATGCTGTGGCAGCATGCCACACGGAAGAACTAGAAGGACTTACAACTAAGATATACAACTAGGTAGTGGGACTTTGGGGAGGAAAAAAAAAAAAGGAAAGTTGTTGAATGACATACCTGAAGTGACATATCTGTTTAAAGGATAGATTTTTTTCTAGAATCCAGGTCTTTGTCTCATCTAATTCTCTTCCCACTCTCTGAGGCTTCTTATCAATACTCTCCTGTGGGCTTTGGTTTTCTCTCTTATTTTCATGTGAGATTGGGTGATAAAATATTTTCTCTGCCCATTAAGTTGTGTACATTTTACATTTTGAGGTAAGATTTTTTGAAGTTTCCCATGAAACAACTGAAGATTCAAAACTATTCAGTCACCCTAAACAAGGAAGGGAGTCGTATAATTAGGATTGACCCAACAGTGTGAGATAATGTCCTTACTGCTAAAGATAATGGGCATTTTCCAGATTGTGCTAGTTACAATCAAGCTTCTCTTATGGGAGCTTTTAATTTAAAGAAAATGTTATCCCTCCTTTCCTCTATTTCTTCAAAATTCTTGGTCACTTGCTTTGTTAAAAATTTCTATTAACATTGTAGAGAACAGGGAAAAGAAATGTGTTGTAAGCAGAGAAATAATGTATTTTCAACGTCCTGCTTATTTTGAGTGCTGAGCGCTGATTGTATTGTGATGATGGTGATCCTAAGAGTATCAGTGGAGGAGCACCTGGAGAGGAGTTTCTTGGGAGTGAGGTTCAATTTGCCCTGAGCCATACCTCCTCTCTAGGTCTGGTCTCCCTGTAGCCTCAGGAGGGTTGGGGGTGAGGTTGGGGACCAAGGAACAGAGCAAAGCTAATATAATTGACTCCATAATTTTGGCCACCTGAGTACCACATGCTAATTAATGCCAAATATATTTTATCATAACAATCATTATATAAAATTCATTTATGAAATCATAAGCTTTTTTTCTAGGGCATACAGAAGCTTGTAGGTGGTTCCTACGTTTGAGGAGCAGACAGTCCGGTTAAGATGTAGCCTGTTCTTGTTCAGTCCCTGTATAAATTGTTAATGACAGGGACTTCAGAGATGATCTAACATTGCTTCCTATTTCATTACGTTGAAAACAGCTCAAGGGAAACCGAAGTAAATTTTCTAAGCATGTATTGTTTGTTAATGACACAATAGGGGAAACTGGGAAAAATAATTCAAGCAACATTAACTATATATGAGTTCTAAATTGACTGGATCAGACCAAAAGTGCTGTGGAATTTCAGAGGCAAGAAGTGACTTGGGAGTGGTAAGGAAATGGTGTCATGGATGTGGCTGAAATTGAAGACAGACACTGCTTAGTTATGCAGAGGAGAGAAAGCTGGAGTAATGCCCCTTTCCTTCTCTCTACTGTGGCAAATTCATGTTCGTCCTTTAAGGCTCAGGAGCACCTTTCCGAACCATTTTTCAAAATTAATTGCCCTGTCTGCTATGCTCCCATAGCCCTTGGTACATCTGTATTATGTGAATCACAACATGAGTGCTCTACATGTGTCTGTATTGCTAAATATAAGCTCCATAATGCCAGGGGCTGCACCTTTGAACCTATGATTTCTAGTACATTGCATGTAGTAGTAAACAAATTATTGTCTAATAAGCAATATGAATAGAAGAATGGATGTTGTGATGAAAATGATTCATTTGGAGGACAAAATGAGGGGAACATGTATATTATTAGACATGGTTAAAGATTAGAATGAGCCTATGGAGCAGTGTCTTAAAACTTGGCTGAAGATTTTGGATTTGTACAATGGAAACTAGTCTTTTGCTGTTTAAAAAGTTTTTTAGTTTTTAAAAATATTTTATGTATTGGGGCTGGCCCCGTGACCGAGCGGTTAAGTTCGCGCTCTCTGCTGCAGGCGGCCCAGTGTTTCGTTGGTTCGAATCCTGGGCGCGGACATGACACTGCTCATCAAGCCACGCTGAGGCAGCGTCCCACATGCCACAACTAGATGGACACACAACGAAGAATATACAACTATGTACTGGGGGGCTTTGGGGAGAAAAAGGAAAAAATAAAATCTTTAAAAAAAAAAAAAAAAAAAATATTTTATGTATTGAACAAAGGAGAATATGGTGGAAGCATTTTTAAGGAATATTGATTTAACACATTGAGAATATATGTAAGTCAGGAGGCGATCCACAAAGCTTTGGCATAAATTGGATAGATGGATAGATCCAATGGATGTGTGGATTGATGAGTGCATGGATGGATGGATGGGTGGGTGGATAGTTAACGGAAGAATGGAAGAATGGTGGTTGGGTGGGTGGACAGGTGGATGGGTTGATGAGTGGATGGGTGGACAGATGGATGAATGGATTACTTAAGGGAAATAAAACATCATGATGAAGATTTTACAGCAGATTACTTGAACAGTGGCTTTCTTATTGATGAGTATTCACGAAAGGGAAGGATTATTTTGGGAAAGAGGTTGAGATGTGTTTGAGGAATTTGAGGTGACAGTAAGGTATTCCAGTAAAAAAATAGGCAGTCGTTAGAAACAAAAGACTTAAATGACTTTGCTATCATTTTATACATTTTGGCTTGTGAGTGTGTTGTCCTAATGATGTTACTTCCGGAATGTCTAGGATTCACAGAAGTATGAGAATCCAAACCAAAAATGAATATTACATAACTTTAAATTTTTCTATATGCTTCCTCTGTAAAATAGAATTCTTTGCTAAGCCTAGTAAATATAAAGAACATGGTTTCTAACTCTAATGTGAAATGCTGAGAAAGCTGTAAAGAAATCCAGACACTCATGTACAACTGGAATCATTCAAACTAACTTCCTGCTGCTCAATCTATTTATGGTTCCATCCTCAGTCTTAGGAATGCGCAGCCTGATGCCCTCATTGTAGTGAGTAGGGAAGACTTGTGGTCAGAGGTTATCTAACTCTGCTGTTGGGACCAGCCTTTCCCTGAGCTGTGGCTGTAATGTGCACTTAACATTGCAGGAGAGTGTAGATTCAGCTGCACCATGGGAAGTCAGAGGATGAATTAAACGATCCCCGTTTGGCGAACAATCAGAGGAAGAGAATTTCTCATTCCGCAGCTCCCTTATTTCCTCTATACTTTTGCCCTCCCCTGCCCCGTTTTTTCCTTCTCACCCAAATGAACCATAGTTGAGACAAAGCAGCAAAAGAGAGCAGAGGGTGGCAGTGAAAATCAGGCAAGTGCACCCCAGGAAAGTGAAACAGGGGTTAACATCCCTTCTCACCTGGAGTTTCTCCTTATAGAACATTCTGTGCTCGCACCTTACATAGTATGATGTTCTGTTGTGAGAAGGAAGACCGTTCACTTTTATTTACCTCTAGACAAGTTAAGAGATTAGTAACATGACCTCTACACCTGTTTGACATCCTAAGTCATAAGAACCTTTAAAATACTACTCATCAGAATTCTTACTTGGAAATTTTCAGTTTCAAGAAACTTCAGTCCAGAATTAGTCCAGTGGCTTTCAAACTTTTGTGTAAATAAAAAACAAGGAGACACTTGTTAAAAATGCTCTACCCCATAATATCTGGCGCAGTGAGGCTGAGGTGAGGCCCGGGAATGTCCATGCTTACTAAGCATCTCAGGTGATTCCGATATAGGTGGTTTGTGGAACACACTTAGAGAAACATCAGTTATTTCAGAGTCTCTGAGAATACCTGGGGCCTGTGTGGGGAGCACAGCAGGTGGGAATTTATCTGAGATGAAAAGGTATTGATTTGTTTGGAAAACAGCATCTTCCCTTGTCCTTACTATCATCAAGGCTGCTCATCTCTTGGCTTAGAGCAGTGCTTTTCAACCCTGGCTGCACATCAGAATAACCTGGGCAACTTTTGATGTCTTCCCCACCACATAGTAATTAAATCAGAACCTGGAGGGGAGGACCCCTTATGTGATATAAGGTCCGCAGTTTCTTGTGTAGCCTGTGTTGAGAACCCTGGACTTTTCTTCTCTAGCTTTATTGTGCCTATGAATGGCTTGGGGACCATGTTAAAATGCAGCTTCTGAATCAACGAGTCACGGGGTTGCTCTAAGAGTCTCCTTTTCTAACAAGCTCCCAGGTGATGCTGTTGCTGCTACTCAGAGACCACGCTGATTAGCACAGGCTTACTGCAATTAACAGAGAAATACTGTGTTGTTTTTGTTATCGAATCTTAATTTTTGCCCTTTCATAAATTTATTCTGCTCATCTGCTTCTAGCTATAAAGCACTCCCCTCTCTTCTGTTCTTGAAGCTTAGACATCAAACTTTTTA